ATAATCTATGTAGCCCACGAGCTGGCTTACCAGGAATGATCTTAGCCTGTATCTTCCTGGAGTAGGAGAATCATGGCGACTCCCTGACTCATCTTCTTTCTCCCAGCATTCTGTTCTGTTTGCTCCACCTACCTAAGAGTGGGCCTATCAAATGGGCCTAGCAGTTTCTTTATTGCTTAACCAATGAAATCAACAGATTGATAAATGACACTCCCACATCACTTCCCCTTTTTCTGTTTAAACAAAAAAAAGGAAGCCTTTAACTTTAACATAGCAAAATTACATATAGCAAAACAGCTATCAAGCAAGAAACAGTTACAATATTTATATCTATTTTATCCTTTATCATAACTAAGGAAAACTATGATTATCTATCCATTCTTCATCTCCATCAAAGACTCCAGAAGGATATAATATTACCTAAGTAAACAAGAAATAAGAAAACTCTAGAAATGACAGAGACATCTCACTGCCTGGACAGTCACCCAAAGTTCTTTTGTACCATTGGGGCATCTATCTTCGGCCTTCAGGCCCATAGTATCCAGCAGACATTTCCATGAAGCAGGAAATTTCAAAGGCAGTTCAGTCACTATCTGCTGTGTCCTGTAGAATGTCTTGCAGACTCTTTCATGAATCAGGAACCCCAAAAGATCATCTCACCTTTAGGCAAGTTCAGCAGTCCTCTCTCTGAGGGTTCTCTTTGTCCATTTTATGTAACAGTCCAGGCAAGAGCAGTTGCTTGCCCAAATGGCTATCAAGCTCCATAAGGATCCCCTTCGATACCCATCTTCCTCCTGAAGTAGATTGGCACTGTCAGGAGCAGACATGTCTCATTGTCATAAAAAGTCCTAAGTTATTAAAATACTTAAATGCCATATTCTGCAGCCTTTGAGAGATATGAAGAATGCCTATCTGAAATATATCCCTATATATCTAGAAAATATAACTAACATGACTACAAGCTTTACTATTATTGATGATTATCCATTAACAACCTACATTTCTTAATTATACAGTACGTTTTTAAATGAGTTACACAATCACAATACCTTAATCAAGATCAAGAGATACATATACATATAACAAAATTGACCTTAAAATCCATACCAATGCAAATTATTCATATCTGTATCATATCCCCCTTTAAATGTAAAAGAACGTTTATAAACCATATTTGGGAATACGGGCACAGTTTTTTCTCTCCAAACTGCTTCCTGCTGAATGGGGGCGCTGTTATTCAAGTCTTTTATGGGATAACCTGTCAGCTAGGTTCATCTCAGTCGGCAGTTGAGCAATGTAATTTTTTGAGGGTGTTCACAGCAACCTTTCAGGAGGGCGTGGTCTATCATACCATATTGGGATACATGCAATCCATAGAGTCTCATTCTCTGTGAAAACAAAAGAAGACTCTCTCCAAAGCATCATATCCTTAGACCCAAATTCTGAACTCATAACTTCATGATATCCATTCTGGTTCCACTTGGCAACCAATGTAATGAAATGTCTCTCTGTACTTAGCTCCTTCACAGTCAAAAATTTTAAAGAAAACACAATGACACAAAGAATCCAGACTCTCTGTGAATTTTCCATTTTTACGTGGCTTATTTTTCTTTATTTCTTTTAATCTATAACTATCTATACTCTGTCTCTTTAAAGACTTTACCTTTTTTTTTTAAAGACATTATTCTTTATATTCTTTTTCTTCTCTCTCCCAAGCCTACGTACATTTATCCAACACTGTGGTCTTTTATGTCTGAATATGTTTTATTGTGAATCTGTAACATTTTTTTACTATCCAGGAGCATTTCTTAAAATATTAAGCAGTTCTTAAAAACTGAAGTTGCACCATGTACAGGTAATACGGTAATAAGGTACAGCCTGTTTCCTGCCCAGTCTAAACCTTAACTGCACTGTTTTTATGGTAATTATGGTAGTTCCTGCCTGAGACCAGCACAGTTCATCATGGCAGAGCCAAGCAGCTCCTGCCTCAGAGCCATTTGGTGCCCCTGAGCCACACACAGTTCCAGGCACACAGCAGTCCACATTGCCATCAACCAAGCCATAGCACATTACTCCAAATGCTCCATCTACCTAAGGGTGGGCCTAGCAGTTTCTTTATTGCTTAACCAATGAAATCAACAGATTGATATATGACACTCCCGCATCAGGAACTCACCAAGGCCAGCTGGCCTGGGTCTGAAAAAAACCTGGGATAAAACCGGACTCGCTGAACATAGCGGACAATGAGGACTACTGAGAACTCAAGAACAATGACAGTGGGTTTTTGATCCTACTGCACTTACTGGCTTTGTGGGAGCCTAGGCCTGGATGGAGGTGGGTTGTCCTTGGACTTCCCACTGGGCAGGGAACCCTGATAGCTCTATGGGCTAACAAGGGAGGGGAACTTGATGGCGGGAGGGGGAGGCCAATGGTAGGAGGTGGCGGGGAAGAGACAGAAATCTTTAATAAATAAATAAATGGAAAAAAAAAGAAAAAAAAATCAATGATAGCCTTTGCTGGAGAGGATGTGGAGTAATAGGAACATTCATAATTGCTGGTGGGAATGCAAACTTGTGCAACCACTTTGGAAATCAGTGTGGTGGTTTCTCAGGAAATTTGGGATCAACCTACCCCAGGATCCAGCAATACCACTCTTGGGAATGTACCCAAGAGATGCTCTATCATACTACAAAAGCATTTGTTCAACTGTGTTCATAGCAACATTATTTGTAATTGCCAGAACCTGGAAACAACCTAGATGCTCCTCAATGGAAGAATGGATAAAAAAAAGTGTGGAATATTTATGCATTAGAGTACTACTCAGTGGTAAAAATCAATGACATCTTGAATTTTGCATGCAAATGGATGGAAATAGAGAACACTATCCTGAGTGAGTTAACCCAGATCCCAAAAAAATGAATGTGGTATGTACTCACTGATAAGTGGATTCTAGCCATAAATAAAGGACATTGAGCCTATAATATGAGATTCTAGAGAAGCTAAATAAGGTGAACCCAAAGAAAAACATATAGTTATCCTTCTGATATTGGAAGGAGACAAGATTGCCAGGCAAAAATTGGAAACTTGGTGGTGAGGATGGGATGGGGGTAAGGGGAAATGGGGAGAAAAGAGTGAGAAGGGGGATGGGGAGTTTGGGGGAATGGAATGGTTGGAATGGAGGCAGGGTGGATATGGGAGCAGAGAAGTATATATCTCAATTAAGGGAGTCATTTTAGGGTCGGCGAGAGACATGACTCTAGAGGTGTTCCCAGGTGTCCATGGAGATGACCCCAGCTAGATCCTTGGGCAACTGAGTAGAGGGAGCCTGAAATGGCCCTATCCTATAGCGATACTGATGAATATCTTGCATTTCACCATAAAAACTTCATCTGACAATGGATAAAGCTAGAGACAGAGTCTCACATTGGAATACTGGACTGAGCTCCTAAGGTCCAAATGAGGAGCAGAAGGAGGGAGAACATGAGCTAGGAAGTTAGGACCATGAGGGTGCACCCACCCACTGAGATGGTGGGACTGATCTAATGGGAGTTCACCAAGGACAGCTAGATGATGGAGCATATGATCAAACTGGACTCCCTGAACGTGGCTGACAAGGAGGGCTAGCTGAGAAGCCAAGGACAATGACACTGGGTTTTGAACTTACTGCATGTAATGATTTTGTGGGAGCCTAGTCTGTTTGGATGCTCACATTCCTAGACCTGGATGGAAGTGGGAGGACCTTGGACTTCCCACAGGGCAGAGATACCCGACTTCTCTTTGGACTGGAGAGGAAGGGGATGGGGTTTGGGGGAGGAGGTGGAAATTTTTAATTAAATAATAAAAAATAAAATATCTCTGCTGGTTTAGCTTAGAGCCCATACAATGAAATATCTCTCTGTACTTAGTCATTAACAGTCAAAACATTCAATGAAAACACAATAATAGACATAATCCGGACCCTCTGTAGGTATTACATCTATATGTGGCTTATTTTCTTAGTCTATTACTTTTTCTATGTGTTTAATATTTATTTTATTATCTTTACTCATTTAATCTATGACTGTCTGTAATCTTTTATATTACATTTACTTTCTAGTTACTCTTTCTCCTTTTTCTTTCAAATCTACATACATTTTTTAAACATACTGATACTTGTTTATAGATCTTCTATGTCTAAATCTGTCCTATTGTGTTTCTGAAATCCTGTCTGTTCTAGAGAGCTTTAAAATGCAGCCTGACTATTTCTACAGCTGCTTTGCCTTTTGGTTCTGCCCAGTGAGCATGACTGAGGCATGTTCATTGCCTCTGCAAGCCTTGTAACCTGCCCCAATTCCAAGTATGCAGTGGGTCTATGTCACACTATTATGCAGTTTGCAACATGTTGCTCATAAAGCCCATTTTAATGGTTGGTCTCCTGAAAGAGCCAGAGTTATTAAATGGCCGAAGAAGCTGCCATTTTGGAGAACTGTGTTTTTTTGCTTTTATTATTGTTTTTTCTTCCACCTTTGTACCAGAAAGAACTATCTTAATGGAGCTGCAACATGCTGCCAACAAGCAGAGCCCATTTGAAAAAAGAAATGTGACTAAACTATGTTTTCTAGTTTCTAGAAATCCTTTCCAAGCCCTATCAGGTTTTATGTACATTTAGCTAGGACATGCTGGAGTTCCAATTTGTAGTAAGGAAATAAGAAAGCACCACAGAATTCAGTAAAAGAGCAGTAACATTTTTCCTAGAGCTTCCAAACCTTGCCATCACCTCTACTTCTGTGCATAGAGTCTTATGATGGACAATAAAATTCCAGAAGTATTAAAAAATTTCTTCATATTCAAACAACAGAAGTGTGTTAAAGTGTTACAGAAGGAATATAAAGATAATACTGAGTTCTTTTTTACATTTTCATTTAAAGGATTTTTTCATAACTATAGACATAAGAGACATTGAACCCATTATTTTTTCTGGGATCCTCCAACTTTTGCACCACGGTTTGAACACACCAGCCTCAAGAAGCAGGGGGAAGTGTGCAGGTCCAGGGCTGTGTGGGGCAGACAGCTGCTGAGAATCTCAGAGATGTTTTTGTTGGAGGCTGAAGCACTGTGGGAGGAGTGCTGAGAGTTTGCTGACAGTAGTAATCTGCCAGGTCTTCAGCCTGAACACTGCTGATGGTGAGAGTGAAATCTGTCCCAGATCCACTGCCTGTGAAGCGATCAGGGACCCCAGTGTGCCGAGTGGATGCCAAGTAGATCAGTAGTTTAGGAGCCTGTCCTGGTTTCTGCTGGTACCAGGCCAGGTAGTTCTTCTGGTTTCCACTGTATAAAAGACTCTGACTGGACCTGCAGCTGATGGTGACTTTCTCTCCTGCTGACACAGCCAGGGAGGATGGAGACTGGGTCATCACAATATCTGCACAGGCACCTGCAATCAGCAATAGAAAATGATGATGCATAATATAAAAAAAACAATATAGTAGCAGTTGAAATTTGTCATTTTATATCTTTGTAATATGGTATTTTCAGAGAAGCATTGAGTAAGACGTATTGTCTCATAGCACACATTATGAATGTCTTATATAGAAGAAGTGACGTTAATAGATGATAATACTTTAGAATTTCTCACCAGAAACCCAGAACACCAGGGCCATGAGAACCTGGGTTTGAGACATCATGTTGCTCCCTCTGCCTGTCTGATGTTCTCACTGAGAAGGTTTGGTTGATAAATTTTAGGTGGTTGGTCTGCGTTGACGGGGCCCATGCAAAGCAGTTAACAAATTCATAAGGAAATGAATGTGCAGTGTGTGTGTGTACCGGGTGTCCATCAACAGGCAAATATAACATCATTGAAAGTGTGAGCAATCACTGAATGCTATCATCTTACAGTGCTCAAACAGAAATCAATTAGACACTCTAGTATCAGCTTTGTGTCAAAATCCACAACATTTTAAAATCAGTTGCAGAAACGTTAGGAAAGCTGTCTAAAATTAACATTACAATTGAAATGTTAAAATATGTTCAAAATATCGCAAAATAAACTTATAGTAAAAAATTCAATAAAAGAGAGAAATGGTGGAGAGAGGAAAATAAGAAAGATAGATAGACAATTGAGGTTTATTTTGTTCATTTCTTTCTATATATAACCACACTTATATAGCGAACAATGAAGAATGCCACCGACATAGTAGTCTAATTTCTTTACTAAAAAAAAAAACAAAAAACAAAAAACAGACCAAGTTTCACTCTGTGTAAATCCTGAAGGACATTAAGCTTGAGATGAAAGAATATTAAATCTCAAAGCAAGAGTACAACCTGCAGAAACAAACAAGTGTCATCTGCACATTTAAGGGAACTGAAACAAGATGATAAATTGTGGTAAATAAAGAGGAAGAAACAAACATAATTTTTTTTTCAAAAAGTCATTGATGTAGACCAACATACCAAGAGTGTTCTTCCTATAATGCATTTTATAAGATAATTTACAAATTAGAGTATTGAGCTTTTCTTTCGCACGACCCAGCACCCCTCCCCAACCCTGCCCTGCTGTATGCTAGGACCAGTGCTCAACTACAGTCTTAAGCTCCTAAACTAAGGCGACCACCCAGAGCGGTGAGTGCATGCCAGCCGGGCAGGCCTCAGGGTCCCCTGTAAGGGAGCCGGGCACCTTCAGCTCCGGCGCCAGGCTTCCTGCGCGCTCCTGGATACCACCCCCACCCTGCTCCATTCATCCTGTTGGCCCTGGATCATTGGGCTACCGGCGGCCCTGTTTAGTTGCTGAGGAATCCCATCAGGACGGGTGAGTGTGTGCTACCCAGGGCGGACTGTCCCCGGAAGAGAGCACAAACCCCCTCCCCCAGCTCCTTCTGCAGGGCTGTCTTTCTTTCGCACGACCCAGCACCCCCAGCACCCCTCCCCAACCCTGCCCTGCTGTATGCTAGGACCAGTGCTCAACTACAGTCTTAAGCTCCTAAACTAAGGCGACCCACCCAGAGGGGTGAGTGCCTGCCAGCCGGGCAGGCCTCAGGGTCCCCTGTAAGGGAGCCGGGCACCTTCAGCTCTGGCGCCAGGCTTCCTGCGCGCTCCTGGATACCACCCCTCCCCTGCTCCATTCATCCTGTTGGCCCTGGATCATTGGGCTACCGGCGGCCCTGTTTAGTTGCTGAGGAATCCCATCAGGACAGTTGCAGAGGAATCCCATCTGGACGGGAACGGTTCCTGCTTCTACACTGAAGAGATATACCCTGAGAGTCAATCACAGCAAAGACTGGACCAAGAGACCAGGCCTCTCCTGGCTCCATTTGAAGGAAGAGATGGGAAGGCGCCAATCCAAGAATTCCTCCAACAATCTGAATGGCAACATGACACCACCAGAAACCAGGGATCCCGAAATAAGAAGACTTGTACACCCTACTCCTGAAGAAATAGAAGAAATCGACTCAAAAGTGAACTATATGAAAATAATAGAGGACCTTAAACAGGAGGTGAAAAACTGCCATAAACAATTAGAGATTACAAACAAAAAGGTAGAGGAAATGAATAAATCGCTCAAAGACACGCAAGAAAACCAAGAGAAACAAGAAAAAGCAATCAAACAGGTTAGGGAAGCGGTTCAAGACATGAAGAATGAAATGGAAGCAATGAAGAAAGCACAAACCGAGGGAAGAATAGAGATGGAAAATCTGGGTAAACGAACAGGAATGACAGAAACAAGTACTAACAACAGATTACAAGAGATAGAAGAGAGAATATCAGACACTGAAGATACCATAGAAAAAATAAACACACTGATCAAAGAAAACAGCAAAACCAACAAATTCTCATCACAAAACATTCAGGAAATTTGGGACACAATAAAAAGACCAAACCTAAGAATAATTGGAGTAGAAGAAGGAGAAGAAGTGCAGCTCAACGGTACAGAAAATATACTTAATAAAATTATAGAAGAAAACTTTCCCAACCCGAAGAAAGAGGTACCTATGAAGGTTCAAGAAGCATACAGAACACCAAATAGGCTGGATCAAAAAAAAAAAAAACATCCCCTCGCCATATAATAATCAAAACACAAAATATACGGAATAAAGAAAGAATATTAAGCTGCAAAGGAAAAAGGCCAAGTTACTTATAAAGGTAAACCTATCAGACTTACACCTGACTTCTCTATGGAAACCATGAAAGCCAGAAGGTCCTGGATAGATGTACTGCAAAAACTAAGAGATCATGGATGCAAGCCCAGACTACTATATCCAGCCAAGCTTTCGTTCACTATAAATGGAGAAAACAAAATTTTCCAGGATAAAAACAAATTCAAACAATACGTAGCCACAAATCCAGCCTTACAGAAAATTATAGAAGGAAAATCACTAACCAAGGAGTCCAACAATGCCCACAATAACTCAGTCATCTAGAGACCTTTCACCAGCGCATCTCAAAGAAGGGAAACACACAAACCCTACTACTAAAAAAGTGACCGGAGTTAACTACCACTGGTCATTAATATCACTTAATGTCAATGGGCTCCATTGACATTCCTCCATTTTATTGAGTCTTATGGGGATTTTTTTTTGTTCTGTGTGAAAGGAAAAGCATAGGCTCAGGACCCATAAGATTAGTTCTCAGTACAAAGCATATGTTTGTTTTTCCCCGGATGAGCAGAAAGCAAGGAATAAATGAAAAGGCAGAATATAGAGGAAGAGTGAGAATGGGATTGTAACCCTGGAAAGGGCATTGGAGTATTTTTCATGGATTAAAAAGGACTGCATGTTAATAAAGAGAGCCAGATAAACCACATAGGAAAATGATAGTTTTATGAAGGCAGAAACCCAGTGATAGGATGAGATGTTTAATTTTAGTGGATATGTTAATTACGTGAGCCAATGAGGACTTTGATTGCTGGATTTAGATTCTTTAAGAGTTGGACCTTGATAGCCTCTGATTGAAGGATTGTCCATATAAGCAAATTGATCTTGTGTCTTGCTTCAGGAATGTAATCTAATAGTTTTAGCAGAGGTAGAGGCAAATGGGGAGAAAGGGCAAGGCCTACCAGAGCCACATGCTTGCACTTATAGGTGTCCCTTCACTGTGTGCTGTATTTGATACACTGAAATTTTACAAACATTTTAATTCTGATTTTCCCTTGTTCACATATTCTGCCATGTTGCTGATTATTTTATCCATCTTGTTTGTGTTTTCCTATATTTTACTAGCCTTTCTCAGTACATCCTTGGCTGAATAAATATTTTGTTTGTATCTGTTGTGGTAATTAACTACTTTATGAATATGTTTTTAAATCATCACTCAATATAATACCCATTTCTGATATTTGAGTTGAATCCTTGAGTGAATTAAGATCCTTTGGTGTATAATTTTGGTTTGATTTTTCATGATCTTATGTTTGTGTATTATAATTCTTATCTGTGGGTTTAAGTACCTCTTTTCATTTATTTGAGACTTTTCTAAATGTAGCAAACTATATTCAAGGTCTCACTGACCAGAATCAGTCTGCTTTAAGGTATTTGGAAATCTCCATTAATTTTATGCAATTTGTAACAAACTTGTTCCATGACATATCTTCAAAATAGGATAAGTTTCTTAATTATGATGTGGACATAGTTAGAATATTTTATACATGTGATAACAATATATACCCCTTAAAACTGAGCCTTATTAATTGATATGACATATAAATACTTGAAGGCAGGATTTATTGATACAATATTATATCAACATTAGAGTGTAGGAAGGTGCCTTTGTCTCCACAATTGGGAGTCAGATACAGAGTCTTAAAGAGGAGATGTGATCCCCAAAACAAAGACAAAAAAAAATTCCACAATTTCCTTCCTTTACAAACTTAGAATCCACATATTTAGAATCTTCAAAGGCTGTGTGTGTGTGTGTGTGTATGCATGAGGATATATGTGTATCTCTGTCTATAAGTGTACATACGTGTGTATGTGGGTGTGCGTGTGTGGGCATGTGTGTATGAACATGGGTGTTTGGGTATGGGAGTGCAAATAATATGACAGACAGAGTGAAAATTAGAAGATACTCTGTAAGAAAAGATTGCAGGAAAGGGAAGGAGAAATGGGGAAGGTTAAGTGCATATGTTCAAAATATATGACATACTGGAAAAATCTTGCATTTAAGAAAATTATGTAAAGTAAATTTAAATCAATAAAAGATTTTAAGGAGCAACAAGGTGACTCACATGACAAAGACACTTGACAGCAAGCCTGATATCAAACCTCAATTTGAATCCCAGAACCCAAATGACAAAGATAAGATCAAGTCCAGGCTGTCCTCTAACCTCCGTATCTATACCATGTCAGATGTACACCTAGAAATATACACACACATACAGACAGACACACAAATGTACACTCTCATGGTCACAGAGAAAGGTACTTAACTGACTAGAACACAATAAAAAGTTAAAGAAAAAAAAACAGAAGAACTGGACGTCAGTAAGGAAGTAAGAAGCCTTCTAAAATCTATAAATGCAGGGAACATTTTTCCCTAGAGCTTCCAAAATGAAATACAGCTTGTAGTCATCATCACTTCAGCCCATAGAGTCTACTGATTGACACTGGAGCCCCAGAAGTATAAAAAGCTAAGGACCTCATATATTCAAGAAACAGAGCTTGTGGTAACTTAGTTCTCCTTTGCAGTTTTGTATAAAACTTTCATACCAAAAAC